AAGGGATAATACCACTCACCAGCATTATTTGAAATGAGGGCTGTTTTTACTCAACTATCCTGTCAAACTACCCCCAACCTCCTAGCAAGCATCCGGCAGGTTACGAATGACATTTTATAGAAAGAAAAAAAAAAAGATTGCAAGATTAGTAATGGCACCTCGTGCAGACTCAGAGTGACAGGAATTCAATTCAGACGTGCTTTATTGGCATGAATGCACAGCCACCTGTCATGGGATTTACACTCTGTCTCAAATATAAAAACTGCTGGCTTCTGCTAACAATATCTGTGGACAATTCAGCAGTTTAATGTGAAACATTAAGAGTTTAAATAGAACATACCTGTCCAGCTGCCAGTCACCATGAATCTTGTAAACAGTTGTGAGAGGTGTGACAATGTGACGCAGCTGAGCTATGAGCTGCTTCACAAAATTAGTGCTAGTGGTAATGTCTTGATGAAAAAATAAAAACTAAGTTCACTAACTTTGTAAGTCTAGGGCCAGCTGCAGCAGTTGTGCAGTTGTTAGCAGTGTTGCCTCGCAGCAAGAAGGTTGCAGGTTCGAAACCCAGCTGCGGACTTTCTGCGTGGAGTTGCATGTTCTCCCCATGCATGCGTGGGTTTCATCCGGGTACTCTGCTTTCTCCCACAGATCGCCACATGCCCTATAGGTTAATCAAGTGTGCGTCACTTTGGATAAAAGGGTCTGCCAAATAAATAAACAAAGAAAAGCAAATGGCAACAGAAGAAGAGTTGAACATGGTCAGAAGACTTCTTCATGAGAACTGCTCTAAAATTAACAAACCTAAGTATACTTTTTTAACTTTACTGATAAATAAGTATTTTCAGCTGACGCATGAAGAAACAAAACAACGTTTAATTTTAACATTCCTGTAGAAACGATGCAATTAAGAAAAACATTTACATCAGGGCCAGGCAATCCTGGGGCCTCATTTATAAAACATTGCATAAAATCCTTAATAAAACTGTACTTAAGCTCAGCAAAAATAAAAAGTACTTATGCCAAGTACGTTTGTAACCTATAAAACATGAAGTACGCACAGCTGCACGCAATCTCCACTTTATAAATCATAGACTAACTAGAAAGGGTCTCTGCTGCTTTTTAGTCACATCCCACCCTCAACACGCCCACTTACTGCAATAAATGCTCAATGGAAAGTGCCTTGAGGATTTCACGCATATACATATGCCGGCTGTTGCAGCATTTCGATCGCAACCGCAGATCAAGGAAGCGCCTTGAGGTACTTGTGGGTGAGGTGGAAAAATGAAAGGAAGTGATTTGCAAAAACAAATAAGAGAAAAGCCACAGAGTGACACAGCGTTGATGAAGCCGTTAATGCTGTGAGTTCTTCAGAGAGATCTGTGGCGGATATAAAAAAATGGTCCAATCAGGATTTCATCCCCAGACTCCCAGGATGAGAGTCACACACGTGTTAACCAGTCAGCCAAAGGGAAAGCTCCCTTAAGTAGCCAGGGCGCATGATAAATCAGGTCACAATGACAGGACTCTGTCACAGACGCATGACAATTTGTCTCTATCTGCCCCCCTGCTGATATTCTGCATTCCGTATTCTGCGCTTCAGGCTGTGTGTCTGTGTGCGTGTGTGTGCGCGTGTGAGTGCGCACAAGCGTGTGTGCGTACATGTGGGGGTCTTGTTCTGTGTGAAAACGAAGCAGTACAAGTGATAATGCTGCAGGATTTCATAATTGTATCCTTCTCAGCAGCAGCACTGCAGGTGTTCTCCATGTCCAAAATGTGTGTAAGCCAGGTCCTTAGTCAACTTAAAGTTGTGCACATTTTTCTGCTAAGTTTTCTTTCATATGTCCCAAAGTTTGTGTGGAAATTTGGTTACGCAGTTTTCTGACCCCGTTTTGTGCGTAAGCTAGCTTGATAAATGAGACTCCTGTCCCTTAAGTGCTGCCATCCAGCAAGTTTTTGTTGAGTCCGTGTTCCAACACACCTGATACTGTTCAGTAGGTGATTAACAGGCTTCTACAGAGCTTGCTGACACGCTGAACAGGTGATTCAGCCAATTTCACACTTTTGAAGCACTTATTTCTGCAAATGTAGACTGATGTTATTGTTCTGTTGCTGCAAATATTTTCAAAGTGGTGTCATGCAACTGAGGTTGCAGGATGAAAACAAAGAGAAAAGAAAAAGTTTATTTGTATGAAGAAATTATTTACTGATAACTAAGAATAAAATAATCAATAGGGTGTTCCTGGGTTATTATATGCGACTTGCACACACACGCACACACACTACCAAGAACAAAACAAACTTTAACACAATACTCACTCAAAAAGTTGTAAGGTTATTAAATCATTTACCTTCCCTTCAGAAATGCTGTTTGAATGCTGAATTCTGAAACCGATAGAACTGAAGCTGGAAATTTGTTCAGTTGTCAAATTTAGCCGCATATAATTAAAAATGTTCAAGTGTTAGTAGAAAACGCCACAAGTGGTGGGTCTTTTGATTATTTTTAAAGGATTGCCTTCTTTATATTATTCTGTGATTTAAGCATTGTTTGTATTTGCACCATTTTACAGGGAAACAAAGCCATATGACTAGGAAACATTATTAAATATTAGAAGCACCAAGCTAAGAATATATATATATATATATATATATATATATATATATATATATATATATATATATATATATATATATATATATACTTAAAACCCATAAAAAACTAACACAAAACAACAGAAACAAACTGTTAAATTTTGTTCAGATAATCACTAGTAGATTTACTCAACTTTTATTCTGTAATGACACAAGGAAACACTTTTCTGTGCATTTGCCAGAATTTAAAATGTGACATCATAGATGTCGGGATACTGTGGTTTATCAAAGTTACACAAATGACCAGTTACGCAGGTGAAATTGAACGTTCTTTGGGAATTTTAATGATAATTATTTTTTTTACAAGTACTTATTAAAGAGAGTTGCTATTTTATCCAAATCATCTGAGCAATCTGTGGAGACAATTTTTCAAATGTTTGCATTTTTACATCTTTCCCATGAAAACCAAGCATACTGGGGCTTCCCCCCACTTAAACAAGTGAAAAGCAGAAAGCTGATTACAGGACGTTTGTGTTGTTCTCCTGCAGCGTGTTGGCATACCTTTTGAGTGCAGCCCCAGCAGATGAGCAGCAATCATGCTGAACACATGCTCTCGTGCTCCTCTTCAGAAGCAGATGACAACAATCATCCTGATTAGTGCTTTGTTCAGACCACTCTAACAATCAAGCAGACAGTTTTCAAAAGACATGTTTTTGTACTGCAATCGCTGCAGACACGATACAAAGCACGCTGTAGCGATTGTGTGTTCTTCAGTTTGATTTGGTCCATGACAACATCTTGCCTTCAAAAGCTGCTTAACTCTGAGCATCATTGGGGAGTGGACCTGAAATCACTCATAGACTTTAATCAATGTAAATATTCTCCTGTAGTGCATCGTTTAAATAGATTTGAGGAAGTCACCCACTTCATGGAAGGTGTGCATGACTGAGAAGTCCCACTATGCTTCGTACAGAACTCATGGATTTTTACATCCCTCTGTTTATGTTTTAGATTAAAAGAGGAAGAATAAAACATTTTTTAAATTTATTTGGGGTGCACAAAAACTCAAGAGGAAGGGATACCGGTGTTTGAGAAATCAAAGTCAAAAATCAGCAGTGCAGTCTGGGAGGTTTCTGAGCGGTAAAAAGAACACTTGAGTGGAATTCAAGTTAAACCTTGTGTGTGATAAAACTGGAGAAACCTCTAATCACATTTGTTCAAATTGGCTTTAAAGTACTATAAATACTTCAAATTAAAGCAGGTTATGTTTACAGAAAACAATCTTAAAAAAGACAAAAATGAGATCTAAATAATCAAAGAATTTGCTCATAAATATCTGGTTGCTGCTTCAGTAATCACAAAATGTCACCTTTTACCTCAAAACGTAGAAAACATATTAAGCTCTGGCCTACAGTGTACAGATAAATCACTAGGCAATTCAAACACATTTAGGAGTTGCTGAATATTCTCTAATATGCAAATTAATACAACATTTATTTTAGTTATGAAATGGTCATCAAAGGTAATCCACATTACTTGGTATTGCACTCACCAACAGGTATCGTGGTACAGTTAAAAAATGATTTTTCTCTAACTGTAGCTGCATATTTATTGGTGTGCACAAAGCATGAAATACATCTTTAACTGTATTTATCAAGTTTTCTATGTTGGAATTACACTAATTTATTAATCAAAGCTCTGCTGAATTTGAATAATTGTGGTGAAATGTGAAATCCATGTAAATATGGCTTTGCGATTTGGGCTAGGGTGAAATCTCTAATCAAATAAGATTTGGTCATTGAATTGTACCGTGTCTGTATTTAGATCAAAGCTTTGATTTCATGTTAGCGAGTCATCTTACATTTGTCTAACGTTAAAGTCCCATTAGTCGTCACACTCTAGCAAAACTGCATTTGATCCATCCCATGGGGGAGCGGTGAGCTGCAGACACGGCTGCGCTCGTTGGAACTATACCCTCCGAATCGAACCCCTTACTGCTGGGTGTCAAGCAGGGAGGCACGAGTTTCATTTTTAAAGTCTTTGCTACGACCCCACGGGGGATTTGAACCCACAATTTTCCAATCTCAGGGCAGGCCACTGAGCTGGTAATGATTTAAATTATTATCAATGCAGAGTTTATAAATACTGTAGGTCACAAAATCAGCAAGAACATATACGTCAGATTTTTGCACTTCTTATTTTTGCTTGTAACAGAAATGTTATTGAGAGAAGATGTGAGCAGTTAGAACTTCCCAGAGACAATTTCATCTGAAACGCTGAACATAAGCTGCAATGGCAGGCCAGAAGATAACTGGTGATTTCAACCGGTTTAAATAGAGCCACCTTAATGAAAACAAAAACACTAAGTTCTTAAATTTGTCTTCAAAAGGAGTCTACTGATGTTCACTCACCTTTACACTGATTGGTGTTTTTGTCCAAGATGGCCTTTGTTGACACAATCTTCCCGTATCTGTGCAAGGAGGAAAAAAATACAGATTTTAACTCTTGTTCTTTAACTTGGGAGTAATTATTAGAAGATGCATGTTTTGTCACAAACAGTCACCATATGGGTTTAGGTTTAGGATGCCACTCAGTTATAGGGAATAAATCACAATCACGGTTATTAGACCAGACATTATTATTATTAGGCCCGAGCAGCGAAGCGCTGCGAAGGCCTATTGTATCTGCTCCGTTTATTAGGCCCGAGCAGTGAAGCTGCGAAGGCCTATTGTATCTGCTCCGTTTATTAGGCCCGAGCAGTGAAGCTGCGAAGGCCTATTGTATCTGCTCCGTTTATTATTATTAGGCCCGAGCAGCGAAGCGCTGCGAAGGCCTATTGTATCTGCTCCGTTTATTAGGCCCGAGCAGCGAAAGCGCTGCGAAGGCCTCTTGTTTTTGCTCTGATTATTATTATTTTTTGTTATTCCGTGCCCCCTTTGAACAGCTTTTTGGGGACCTTAACATACCCCAAAACTCACAATATTTTGCACACTTGTCAGGCCTGGTGAAAAATCTGATATTTTAAAGGTCCCAAAAAAATCGCAAAGAAAATGGCTGAACAGCGCCCCCTACAAAGTGAAAAAAACCCCTCTCCATAAAGCTTAGTTTATCGTACAGTTATGAAATTTGGTACACTTGTAGTACTCAACAGTCCGCACAGAAAAGTCTCTTGCAACCATGGTCAATATGAAACAGGAAGTCGGCCATTTTGGGTTGAAATGGCGATTTTTTGCCGTTTTTGCCGTTTTTAGGGTCCGTTTCTGATTGGATTGCTCGATCATTTTTCGCACGATCGTCTCAAAAATTGTGTAAAATTGCTCAGAAGGGATGGGCGAACAAAATGAGATAAGGATTCTGAGTTTTCGTATATGTTGAAGGGGCGGAGCCAGGCCTCGAAGTTTGACTACTCGCCAAAAATATTTAAATTGCTATAACTTCATAACTGAATGGAATAGAGTTACCAAACTTTCTGTGGTCATTCGTCATCCACCCACAAAGTAAATTGAATGGTCGGATGATGACATCACACAAGGCCCGCCCCCTCAGGACCAAAAAGATCAAGTTTTACTGTGAAAGGTCCCAAATTGCCCCATTTCACTTAATCACCACAAATTTGTAGCTGGTAACTCAAGACAAGTGGGGGTTGCTTGGCGTCACTTTATGGGAGTTTTCGGCAGAGGGCGGGGCTGTGGCGGCGCGGCGAATTCAGGCGTACCGCCTTGGCCTTACGTTTGCCTCCCATTTCGTCATTTCCAAAGATATCGTCACGAAACTTCTTGTGAGTGATCCTAGTCCGGCCCCCCAAAAGATCTGATGTGAACATCTGGAGGGCGTGGCCTATTTTCTGAAATAGCGCCCCCTAGGACCATTAAAACTGTCAGCCCCAAGCCATGCTTTGACTGAGGATTACGAAATTTGGTACACTAATGTGGTGTCTCAGGACCTACAAAAAAGTCTCTTGAAGCCAAGTGCAAAGTCGCACAGGAAGTCGGCCATTTTGGTCCAAGTGCGCGATTTAGTGGTTTTCACACACGTTGTTTGGAGAGTGATACTCCGTCGCCCTTTTAACCAATCACTTTCAAACTTCTGCTATATAGTCTTAAGACATAGAGGAAAAAATTCAACCGTCGGATTTTAAATAAGTATAAAGGTGTGGGCGTGGCTAAGCCTCAAACTTTGACCTTTCGCCACGCCACTCTTTTTTTCACAGCTCCTTATTGGACTCCTTTTACCCAATCACCAGGAATCTCTGGTAAATAGCAGCAGGCAAGTTGAGGTCACTTGGTCTCCAGTACTGGAAGGTTTTGCAAAAAGGCGGGGCTTTGGGAGCATGGCGAAATTCGCCATCACTCCATGGAAATACGTTTGCCTCTCATTTCTTCATTTATCGTGATATCACCTCGACCATTGTTGTGAGTGATCCTAGTCTGACCCCCAATAGAAGAGGTCAGCTTAAGTTTGTGGGCGTGGCCTATTTTCTGTTTTAGCGCCCCCTAGGACCATTAAAACTGTCAGCCCCAAGCCATGCTTTGACTGAGGATTACGAAATTTGGTACACTAATGTGGTGTCTCAGGACCTACAAAAAAGTCTCTTGGAGCCAAGTGCAAAGTCGCACAGGAAGTCGGCCATTTTGGTCCAAGTGCGCGATTTAGTGGTTTTCACACACGTTGTTTGGAGAGTGATGCTCCGTCGCCCTTTTCACCAATCGCCTTCGAGCTTCTGCTATATACTCTTAAGACATAGAGGAAAAAATTCAACCGTCGGATTTTAAATAAGTATAAAGGTGTGGGCGTGGCTAAGCCTCAAACTTTGACCTTTTGCCACGCCACTCTTTTTTTCACAGCTCCCTATTGGACTCCTTTTACCCAATCACCTGGAATCTCTGGTAAATAGCAGCTGACAAGTTGAGGTCACTTGGTCTATAGTACTGGCAGGTTTTGAAAAAAGGCGGGGCTTTGGGAGCATGGCGAAATTCGCCATCACGCCATGGCAATACGTTTGCCTCTCATTTCTTCAATTATCGTGACATCGCCACAAAATGTCTGGTGAGTGATCCTAGTCTGACCCCCAATAGAAATGGGCATCTGAGATTTGTGGGCGTGGCCTATATTCTGAAATAGCGCCCCCTAGGACCATTAAAACTGTCAGCCCCAAGACAAGGTTTGACTGAGGATTACGAAAATTGGTACACTCATGTAGGGTCTCTGGCCCTACAAAAAAGTCTCTTGGAGCCAAGCGCAATTTCGCACAGGAGGTCGGCCATTTTGGTCCAAGTACTCGATTTAGTGGTTTTCGCACACGTTGTTTGGACATTGATGGCCCGTTGCCCTTTACACCGATCACCTTCAAACTTATGCTATGTACTTTTAAGTCAAAGGGGAAAAAATTCAACCGTCGGATTTTAAATAAGTATAAAGGTGTGGGCGTGGCTAAGCCTCAAACTTTGACCTTTCGCCATGACATTACTTGACTTAATAACTCCCATGTGCATGATCAGATCTAATTCAAACTTTGTCTGTGTGATCACTGACCACATCTCAAGACAACGACAATGTGGACAGCTGACATCACCTAAGCCCCGCCCCCTGACAACAGGAAGTCTATTGTTTTATGGTGAAATGCCCATATTTGTCCCCTCTAATTTAATGAAAATGACACTCAGGTCATACAGTGTCTTCATGATGTTTTAAAGACCATTCAGATCTGATAGCTTTCCAGAAAGGGAGGGGCTTTGATGCCATGGTGAATGCTGGCGTGACGCCATGACCTTACATTTGACTGTAACTTCCACAAACGGCCTCCGATTTGCCCGAAACTGAATATGGCAATGAACAATCATGCCCTTTAGCCAATGAGGCACAAACGGTTGGTGAATGTTATATAATGTCACCAAAGCTGACCTCAATGGGACTTTTCTGTAGTTGGTCACAGCGCCACCTAGATAACGTTATCCTTCGATAACTTTAAAAAACATGGTCAGAATAGCATTAAAGTTGGTCACTGTCATCACACCACCAGTGTGGTAAAGATAGAGGATTCCCTAGTGGTGAGACATAAAATATAATGGTGGGCTCAAAGGGGATGCTGAGTCAGGGTGAGTTGCGGACAAGGTGGCCGTTAGCAGTTTCTGGTGTTGGGGTGGTCGACGTTTGTGTTCTGCGGACGTGCCCTGGTGCCCCGGGCTGCCGGCCAGGCCGGAGCGGCGCGGAGCTGCGAGGGCCGAACGACGCTGCTTGCAGCTTTAATTAGGCCCGAGCAGCGAAGCGCTGCGAAGGCCTATTGTATCTGCTCCGTTTATTTTTTTTTTTTTTCTTTCTTTTTCTTCCGCGTCTTTGGACGGCCTTTAGGGGGTCTTAGCATATCCAAAAACTCACCAAATTCTGGCCCAATATAGAAAGTGCGTGAAATTTACGTATTTCAATGGCAACGTGAAAGTTGGTAAAAAAATGTTTCAACAGCGCCCCCTGGAAAATTAAAAATACCCCTCCGCTTTGACCTTTTTTCTTAGTAGAGTTATGAAATTTGCTACACTTGTAGAACTCAACAATACGCACAGAAAAGCCTCTTGCACCCATGGTCAATATCAAACAGAAAGTCGGCCATTTTGGACTAAAGTGGCCATTTTGACCACGTTTTGGCCATTTCTAGGGTCTATATTTGGTTGAACAGTTTGGTCATTTTTCGCACGATCGTCTCAAAAATAGTGTGCGATCGAACAGAAGCGATGGACGATTAAAATGAGACAATAAAATTGACTTTTCGTAAATACTGAAGGGGCGGGACCAGGCCTCAAAGTTCAAGCACTCGCCAAAAAAATTCAAATTGCTATAATTTCATAAATGAAAGAATTACAGTTAAAGTAACTTTCTATGGACAATCGGCATCGCCCCACGAAGACAAATGAATGGTCGATTGATGATGTCACATAAGCCCCGCCCCCTCAGGACTTAAAAGGTCAAGTTTTACTGGGAAATTTTCAAAAATTCGCCCTTTCAAATAATCATCCCAAATTTGTAGCAGGTAACTGAAGACAAGTTGGGGTTGCTTGGCGTCACTTTATGGGAGTTTTCTGCAGAAGGCGGGGCTGTGAAGGCGCGGCGAAGTCAGGCGTACCGATGTGGCCTTACGTTTGCCTCCCATTTCGCCATTTCTAGAGATATCGCCACAAAACCTCTTGGGAGTGATCCTAGTTCGGCCCCCCACAAAATGTGATGTGAACATCCGGTGGGCGTGGCCTATTTTCTGAAATAGCGCCCCCTAGGACCATTAAAACTGTCAGCCCCAAGCCATGCTTTGACTGAGGAGTACAAAATTTGGTACACTAATGTGGTGTCTCAGGACCTAGAAAAAAGTCTCTTGGAGCCAAGTGCAAAGTCGCACAGGAAGTCGGCCATTTTGGTCCAAGGACTCGATTTAGTGGTATTCGCACACGTTGTTTGGAGAGTGTTGCACCATTGCCCTTTTCATCA